GTGAGTAAGAGAAATGGCATGCTTGAGATTTTCCAGCAATTAATTTTTTATGGTGTTAAGCACCTGGAGCTGTAAGCCCTGATGGCCTGAAAGATATTGGTGATGAAATACTTCTCATCAGAAATTCTCATTTTACATGCTGTCTCACTTTTTAACAGTATGAATTCTTTCAGGTTTCTTGTTCACAAGCACACTTCTAACAGTTTAGCGTCTTCTCTGTGACAGAGAACTGGGAAAAAAAATTAAGCAACTGTAGCACCTTCTAATCTCAGTTCTGCTTCTAAGCAGATATTAGGCTTGATGCAGTTAATTTAACTCTGGGTTTGCATATTCTCATTTGCCCAAAGTCACACAGCTAATAAGATGCTGAAGTTGAAAATCAAACACACAAAGATACCAAAGCCCATATTTTCCTGTATTACAATATCACAGCAAAAGGGGGAAGAGGTAACAAGCTATTACTGTACTAGGAGACTAGAGAAAAACTGTTATCTCTTCAAAAGGCTTTTCGTTTTCTCCTTCACCTGTTTTTCTCTTCTAGTTCTTTATTTGCTTTCCTCTTGAATTTGGGCAGCAGCTGCTGAAGAAGGTCCTTTACTGCATCTCGCTCTTTCACTGCTGTGCTTTCATTGGAAAAGTGGAAGTTAGTTGTGTCCCCTGCATGCAGGACCAGCTGAAGTTGAATTTTAGCTTTTCCTTCTGGACTGATTTTCTGGCCTTAAAAAAAAAAAAACAAGAAGCTAATTAATGAGGATACTCACACTGTGGAAATTGCCATACAGTAGATTACCTTTCCTTCCAAGAAGATTCAGGATTCCTTTCAGCTTTAGCTGCCCTGTTCCAATCTTGATGCTTTGGCAGAAATGAACTCTTCTCAGATAATCCCATATAACCAGAGAATGTTCAACAAATTCACTACTAACACTCCACTTCTTTTCAGTATCCTTTTTGTGCCACACTTCTCACTCCACGGCTTCTGCCTCCAGATACTAACAGGCTTTTGTCCATTCAACTGGGGCAGACCTCTTTAAAGCTTTTAAACATTACCATTAATAAAAATGACTTGTCATGATCTAAAAGACTGCAAAGCACAGCCATGGCTTGCTTACTAATTGTAAAGGAAAATACGTACTTTTACTTTTCAGAGATTTGATGTGACCACTTTAACCAAGTGATCAAATTTAGCTTTACTAAAAGTGGGACAATCTGACACTATGTACTTTCTGAGGGGATGAAATAGGAAGTAATCACCACCACCATTTTCTTGCCCAAAATGTTGTATAATCAAGCCCTTAGAACTGATTTTCGGTTTATAAGAAATATAGGCATACAGGAATAAATTAAAACCTTAAGGAGACAATCAGACATGTTCAGAATGTGTGATATTCTATCAGACTATACTCTAAAAAAGTCTAAAAAGACCACAAGTATATAAACCTAAATTGATACCGGTTAAAAAAAAGAATCATGGCTATGAAAGACATTATTGGGACAACTAAGGAAATACAAAAATGGTCTGGATATTTATTATTAACATGTTCTTGTCCAGATAATGACATTATAAGCAATAAAAGTATACACATAAATAATAAAGCAAACATGGCAAAATAACAACTGTAGTATGTGGGTGGGATATATTTCATAGGTTTTCACTGTATCATTCTTTTCATTTTTCTATAACTTTGAGGATTTTCATAATAAAAAAGTGGGGCTGAAAACACCAAAGTGTGCCAACATAATGGAGAAATTGTATTCTGAAAGAGTGGGCCTCATGCCAACAGTAGTGCTTCTCTTCTTCATAAGGGAAACAGAGATGGAGGGCCTTGTCCCATTAAATGGGTGACTCATGGTGATGTGAAACAATGCCTAGAGCTTCCATCTTAGCATAAACTGATCTACTAAACCTTAAACAGAAACCTGACAATGAAGATCATGTTTCCAGATAGTTTAAATGAAATAGCTTACTGCTAAAAGCAGCAATAATTAAGCAATTTACACTGTCAGTTAGCATGTTCCATTAAGCCATTCTTCTAGAACAATCATCCTTTCTAGTCAATGTTTCATCCTTGCTCTATGTTAGCTCCTGTCTCAGGGAGGCCACCTTCTTAAGTTTTTTAACTAGCTAACTTCAGCTATGATAAGAACTACTGCTGATTTTCAACTTAGTAATTTATTAATGATAACTCTCAATGGCTTCTTTCACAATATTCTTTCAAATATTTGACTTAAAACAAAAACTGTTCTGGTGCAGATGTAGATTTGGGTATGCACACCCTTCCCCAATAGCTAAGAAGAATTGTGGAGAAATGTGAGATGGGCATATTCTTTAATGTATGCTGTGGATATCAAAATGAACGTGTGTTTTACAAAACTATAGGGCTAGCTTCCCATTTAAGAGAAATACCAATATAGGCAGTTACTAATTTATTAGCCTATTGTTGTACAAATGTTAGTTTGTAGAACTATTATCAGGAATTTCCAGGGCATTTTTCCACACAGAGTTTTAAAAGGAGGTACTATTACCAGGATAATGGACAAAAGACCATATAGTTTAGGCAGTATTGAATTATGAAGAATTTTAAACAGCAATTTCTCATGAGAATTCAGATGCTAAGCCAGTGGAGAAAGATAGGTATCTTGGTCATTTCCAGCAGTAAGGTACAGGTAAGACCTTGGACTAGGGCAGCTGTTTATACACAAAAGACATTCTGTAAACTGAGCACTTGCAAGTTAAGGGTTGTCTGTTTTTGGAGGTATCATGTTGCGTGACATCTACACAGGATTTTATCTAGGAGAAGAATCTTATATCCAGGGAAATAAATGAATCCATATTAATGATCACAGTTAAGGCACCATAACTCGTTAAGAGGTTGGTTGCCCAGACTCTCCCAGAGCTCTCCTATTCCAGATCTTTAGTTAGGTGAATTGCAGAATCCCTTTCAGGGGAATGGTGTTCCCAGGATTCACCTGGTGCTTTTAAACCTAATTATTGCTGATCCACAAAGTATCATACGCTCTGGGTAATAAATTCGAAGTTAACCTTGCCAATTTGGAAACAAAAGCAGTTTTGATTTTTAGCCTTCATACTTGAAAATTATGAAAATAAAAGGATATAAAAATATTAAGCTCAGTATTTCTCCCATCTACAATCAGTATAAAGTTGAGTCTATCTTCTCTAAAGACAATGGCTACATTATCAAAGACTAATTAGACAACTTGGCTAAATGGTACAAGGCTACTGAAGGGCACCCTAACATCCTTTATCAACATTTTAAATGCATGAACTATTTGAACCAGTAAAACTGTTGCAGGGATGTATTCTGCAGAACCTTGAAGAAATACTAGTGCACAGATCTACAGTGCAACATTGTTCGCAATAAGAAAATTCTTGAAACTTCCTAAATGTCTTTTAACAGAGGACTGGTTAAAAACATGACTGTAAATTCATTCAGTAGAGTATTATGCAACTCTCAAAAGTTTGTGTGGAGCTCTTCATTTGAGGTAGATTTACATATGTAAACCTGTACACACTCTATTATTGAGTGAAAAGATCAGGATATAGAATAGTATATATTTAGTGAGCCCACTTTGTAATTTCTACATGGTTGATTTTTTTTTATATATATATAAAATAAAAAAACTTGCAAAGATGGTATAAACAAACTTTTAATAAAGTTACCACAGTATATATTTAGTGAGCCCACTTTGTAATTTCTACATGGTTGATTTTTTTTTATATATATAAAATAAAAAAACTTGCAAAGATGGTATAAACAAACTTTTAATAAAGTTACCAGCAAATATTAATAGATCTGCAACATAACCAGCACCATTTTAGACAAGCCCAAGTACAAAATGGCGCTGTCCACCTCCTCCCCTCCTCTCCCCTGTTCTCTCTTACAAGAAGCCTCATGGTTTCGGAGAACATGAAACTTTCGGTGTTTCCACATGTGCAGAACTCTCCATTCCCATGACCTAGCTCAATCCCCACCCTTGAATTACATCACCCAGCTCTTGGCGCCAACATACCAATATAAGCTCCCACCACCCTAGGTTAGCTGCTGTCCCCCATTTTCAGGGCAGCCCCAGGCTGTTCCCCACTTTGAGCGCAGCCCACCAGATTCTTTTCCTTTAATAAAGCTTGAACAGTACCCAGCATCTTGGCTCACTTTCTTTCATTATGGCGCTGAAATCTGGGAAAGGTTTTGGTCAATGTTGCGGACAATCCCCT